AGCACTTTTTCACATTTTCCCAAAGAAAATTATGATTACTGTTTTTAACTTTAAAAAAACACCTTTTTTAATGCATTCTTTACTTAAATTAATATTCTATATGGCATAATATTATATATATATATATATTTAAGGGTTTTAGATTCAGATTTGAATAAAGTGCTTATTATAAAGCAATACCTTTGTTATTATACATATAATTATAAAATATTAGCTGAAATGTCATTTTTGTGAAGTAACATAATATAGTCATGCTGTCAAAGTATCATTTCTCTTATCCATACTATTTTCTTGAACACATTCTTAACTAAAGTGGACAAACAGCCTATGGAATATAAAAATCTGCATCCACTTACAATATCAAAGAATAAAATTAATTATGTATTGTTATGATTGTAGATCTTAGCACTTTCAGTTTTCTGAATAAGACAGCCTTCCCAACTTTTTTCCTTTTTAACTTTATTTATTTACAATAAAAAACAAAATATAAGCACATAATATTCACTTTCTTTTTTTGTCTGCCTTCTACAGGACTGGCACTTCATATTTTGCCACCTGGTGTAATATCCGTGGCTTGTAAATAATTCTACCTAATGCCTCCCTAAATTTGAAAAAATTTGCCACTTTAAATCCCGCTGCCTGACACAGCAACAGGTTGTATCAGCTCTAGTGCCAGTCTTAGCTTTCTATACAATACCTTAATCTCATCCCTATTTCTCTCTCTCTCTGCCAGTGGTTACTCACAGTTTTAATTGTACTTGTTCTATTCTTTATATTTGGTGTATTATTTCTTTAAAAATACAACAGAATGATTACAAAACATTAATTTTATGGTGAAGTAAATAAAGAACAATATGAGAAGGTGGGATGAATCCTCCATTTTCCAGACTGAAAAGTGGGGTGAAATGTCAAATTTGACATCCCTGGGTTTTAACCACTTATCTCTTTCAGAGGTCTTCCTTTTGCAACATAGATGCACCCCTCTGTGAATCCATTAAACTACACACAAGAATCTTTGTTGCAAATAAAAGGTGATTTCTTAAATGGGGAAAAGCATTCGGTTCAAGATTCCCCGTCCTTTTGTTGCTTTTACTGCTACCAAAGCCCCAGCCTCAAAAGGTTAATTAATTTTATGGTGAGGTAAATAAAGAACAATATCAGAAGATGGAATGAAATATTTACATTTACATTTATTTTTTATTTTTATTTTATTTGTTTATTTTCGTCAGGTTTTTTAAGTGAAAAAATTGTAATTCATGTGAAATTATATTCTCACTAAATCTTTTTTTCTTAAAACAACTAAGACCTTGATGTGGCAAAACAACATGAAAACGTGAAATTTTACAAGCTTGCACTGTAGAAACGATATTTTAATGCAGGAAATGTGAAAAATGAGCAATGCCCTCACCAGGACTCAAACCCTGGACCTGTCGAATACGCGCTGAGTGTGCTGACCACACTCAAAAATACCTTATAGCACTACTTTTCAAATCTACAACTTAAAGCAGCCAAAATTTTATAAATTTTTAGAGCTTCAGAACTCAGAAGTTGATTTTAAGTTTACTGATGGATTTAGCTTGATTTTTCAAAATTCTCTCCTCCTTAAAAATATACATAAATACTTTAAAAAAAAATGATAGAGAAAGAGATATACACACACAAGAAATGAAAAAATACTGCATTTGAAGATTTTTGAATATTATATTTAATATATTTACTTATATTCTATTAATATTTATATTATATAAGTTTTATATAATTACAGTTATATTGCTTACTTTCACATATCTGAGCATCATCACTAGTACCATGATTCCAAGCCTTCTGATTGTATAAAGGACAGCATCTGTCACAATTCTCTCCACAAGTATTATGCTCACATTTACATTGTAACTTCTGGATAAAAATATATCATATATGTAATTTTTATTACAACAGAAGTCCAACTGACAATAAGTACACTTTAAATTCTCAATTATTCATACTTAGTCAGATAAAATAACTGTACAATCAACAGAAGTTTAAGAAGATATTTTAAATCTTTTTAGTAATGTTCAACACTTTTGGTTACAGTTAGAAAAAGTGTGTAAAAACAGAGACAAGACAGAACATAAGACAAAAATTATTTTTAAAAAATTAAATTCCCATTTAAATTGCTTTAATTACATTATGTACAAATGTAATTAAAGCAAATATCTTACAAATACCTTAAATTTCAACAAATACCTTAAGGTACAACAAATACTTTAAATTATTTTTCTTTCCAGCATAAGGTTATATTTTACTTCAAAAATAATTAAAATGACCTCATTATTAACAATTAAAATATTGAATTTAGCAAAATAGTAGTGTGCTAATAAAATATTCTTTTTGACAGTTCCAAGCAAACTTATACACTATTATACTGAAGCTGAATTATAAAAAATTTTAATTTGAAAAAAAAATTTAATTAAAGGAAAAAATTTTAATTAAAGGAAAGGAAAAATCTAATATTGGGCAACTATCACTTAAAAGATCATCAGTTTTATGCAATTTTAATTTGTTTAAAATTTACTGTGAAAAATATCTGTTAATTTTTTAAAAATTATACTTTGTTTTAAATCTTTGTTTTAAATTTTAAATGTTAGCACTTATTTTTCAGTGCCACCATTTTAGTTGATCCCCCCAGTGATCCCCTAATTGACGAATACAATCAGGTATAATCTCTGATTATATTCATCAATAAATATTTGGCTACAGCAACCTAGCCAAGAAAAGCACAGACAAAGAAGAATAAAAGCTTCGATGGCAGTTGAAAATAAATTAATTTATTAAAGTTTGTTATTGATATCTTTCCAAGACTTGAGGCCAAATATGAGAATTTAAGGTACAGCACATGAAATTGTACATGAAAATTGTACAAAAAATTTCAAAAATAAGTATGCAGTATGCAGTATTTTTGAAATACAATTTAAATCTTAAAAGGTCATAGGTGTTTCCTTGTGAGCAAAATTTTGAGTGTAACTGCTTTAAAATTAATTTTCATAATTTAGTTTGTTGTACTTAATTCTGCATGAGAAAAAAAAATTCTCTACCCTCCCCCCCCAACAGCTTTATATCATAATTATTTCCAAAAATCTATGACTCAAATATGATTTTTATAGAGAAAAGATAAAGCTTATTTTGTCCCAGTAAATCTCAAATTTCTTATGAAATTTAACATTTATTGAGCAAGAAAAATAAGCTTTAACTTTTCTCCAAGAAAATGTGCTTCAACAATTCTGTTAAATTAGAATCAAATCCTATACGATTAAAATATTAACCAAACAAGAAAATTCTTCTAAATATAACCAAAAAGTAACTAACCTTTCAACTATGTTCAAAACTATAATAACATTTATTAAAAAAGAAGAAAATTATATTATATTGGTGGCTACTATATTTGGTAACATTCACTTTAATAAGAAATTTGGTGATGACTTTGCAGAAAAGAGCTCATATTTGTGCATGATAATCAAAGAGTAGTATTTACTAATTTTTACATCAGAAGCATGTTATATATTTTGCTGTACATGCCTTATGAACAATTTTTCAGAATTTTTCCTGGCAGGATTATAAAATAATAAAATTATAATAAAAATTAGAAATTATTTAAAATACTTTAGAAATAAAAACCTGCATATATAATAACCGTTAATTTTGTGAACAAAAAGTTAAAATTATGTAATGCACCTCTTTTGTTTTAAAATTTTAGAGTACAAAATAAATAACAAATGTATAGTACAGTAAGTAAATAACACATGTATAATACACAACTTTAGTTTATTACCAAAAAATACAACTATTACTTTTTAACTATAATAGCTTAATACCATATATAAATATTTGCAAAACAAAAGATGGTAAAGGACAATTTTGGAACTACATAACTATTTGATTCATCAATGCCTTTGTTTTAAGGAGCACGATATAATGTCTTGCACCACAATTTTACTGTGTGTAATCTTTGGCATAAATTAATGTCATATTTTTTAACTATTATTTCATAAACAATTAATTACAATGGTCATTCAGATGCCCATATATTTTGTAAGTAAATGTTTAGCATTTCTAGTTTTGTTGTGGATTTTTGTGATGTTGACTGAATATTTCCTCAGACTAATCCATCTGGTTCAAAATTATCTACAAAAATAAAAAATTTTATGCTTAAAATGTTAAAACTAAAACGGAATTTAACTTTTTAAATAATAAATACACATTACTGTTTACTTATTATTATTATTATCATTATTTTACATAAAAAATTACTTTTAAAAAACATTGTTACAATGGCAAATAAAAGTAAAATGATGTTGAGTAATTGTGGTGAGTGGCTTATTTCAATAATAAATTAATTTGGCTTCATAGTTAGTGATTTATGTTTTAAAGACATTAAAAAACACTATTTTTTATAATAAAATTAGGAACATACTGCACATGCACATATTCATTTAGCTTTTATGCATCAATATATCAATTTGTGTATTAAATCAGTTCACCATTCTGATAAACCACACGATTACTTAACTTGCAAAACAAGAACAAATTAAATATAATTCAGGAACAATAATTACTTAAGCTTTAATTGTTATAGGGGAAAATTTGCACATGACAAGAATGACCAGGTTTCAGGTTTCTACAAAGCCTTATTAAGAAAATAATATCTTTGAGTACATTTTTCAAACATATAATTATTTACATTATAACCTCTACATAAACTGAGCCTCTATTGATCAAGAATCAAGGTCTTTATTAACTGAGTCAGCAATCACTTTAAAGAAATCAGAGGGCAAATATTGTAATATTAGAAAGGGTAAACAAAAGTTAGTAATATTTGTGAATTTTCTTATCAGCGATTTATCTTTTGATCATTCTTATCAGTGATGAGTCATTTAATGACCTTCTTAATGTGTGCTAAAGTAAAAAACACGGTTTACATGCCTTGAAGATGAAAGCAATGCAAATAATCAGACACCAGTTAACAATGATTTCACAGGCATGTTTCAAAGACTAAAATAATGCAAAGACATCCCTCAATATAGTATTTTAAATTCAGAAAACAGCAAATCAAGTTTCAAGTGGCAAAGAAATCACATGCACCATAGATTTTGAGAAAAATAAAAATTATAGAGATGTTGAGGATGATAATAAAACAAAAATAGATAATGTGAAATTAACCATGTCAAAACCTTAAGGAAACTCTTTAATTTTTAGAACAGCATTCTGATGCTTTCCCTATTCATGTACAATAATGATAAATATCATTGTTATGTGAATGCTAATTATGTTACTTACACTTTCTATAAACATTTCACTAATGCATTATTTTTTTTTTTTAAATGTTACTAAAATCTTCCCTTTTGATACTTAAATTTAGAAGCTTGGGGGTTGTTTTTGTTTCCAGAGTCTTTTAAATTCTTAAACACAGTAAAGAGCTTTGATGTGTTTTCTTACCATTTTGGTAATGCAAGAAATAGAACAAAAGAGTATAAAATATAATTAATAATTTTTCAAGTGAAATCATTAAAAAAAATCTGAAAGGTTTCAGATTTTAAATTACTTTCAAATGGGCATTTTGTTAACATTTTTGTGTGTTACCTTTATTTATTAAATATCATTTTCTTTGCACCTAAACCATAAAATTCAGTTCAACAGCAACGTCACAAAATAATTTTAAAATGAGCATATCTTTAGAATTTTGGATACACAGTTCGACGCGCTGGAGATAAAAAGGTTTTTTTCTTGCCTAGTGTGTTGCCATTGCTCGCTTTTAAATCGTTGAGTTTGTTAAACAAAAATTCATTAAAGGTTTACAAAATATGAAATCAATAATAAAACAAATTCCAAATTTCAAATTTGGGCTTCCACCTGCCCATATTCGTAGGAGAATTACGTCATTCAAAATTGGATGGCTCTAGATACCGTTGTTTCATCACAATGCACGAAACATACATACATTTATGCAAATTCTTCATTATTTAATTTCTTCAAATATAATACAGGGCAATATTTGGTGGCAACAGTTTGAAAAGTGAAAGGGACTTTCAGAGTGATTAGATGCAAAATCACAAAACGAAACAATAGTCCCTCAGGGACAAAGCCCCTTTGGGCTAATAAATTAAATGGATAACATATTAAAAAAAAATTCAAATGCAATAAAAGTAATTTATACTAGTGCAATAATTAATTTTAAATACTTTTTTAATTCTATACAATTAAATCAATATTTACAAATGCAAAAATATATTATTTATTAAAAGTTTTACTAATTAAATGTTTCAAATGGTGTTCTAATTAAATGTTTCAAATGATGTTAGCTGATCATAATGAAAGAACAACCAAGAATCAGTGCATGTATAATTAAGCAATATAAATGCAACAAAATTGTTACAATATACATGAAGATGTCACATCATAATTGTTTGTGAAACCTGCAACACCATGAAGCAACCACCAGAATTTAATGCACTTTACTATGATAGATATGATTTGTAATGCCAAATAAAATTTATTAAATTTACAGAAGGAATATCAAATGCTAAAAATCAATATTGGGTAAAGTTACCCTGCGCTAAAAGAAGAACTTGCACTCATCATGCCATTGTAAACAAACAGGTTTTGAATGTGTACCAGAGGAATAAGATTCCATGTTGCTTCTATCTGAGCCTAAAATTGATTCATATTAGTTGTGGGACAAGTGCCATGAGCAAGGTTCCCACCCACAAAATCTCAGATATGCTCAGTATCTGCTTGGTTAACAGAAAAGCTAAGAAAGAAGAATTACCCAGCATTCTAAGAAGTCTTAAATATTTCTAACAACATTAGTGCAGCTCTGTTGAAATATACCGCCAAGAATGTGTTGAATGAAGAGTATGACTTCAAGCTTCGCATCTTCCCTGATGTAGCGGTTGTTAGCAACAGGGCTGTGGAATCAGTAGGGAAAATGACTGACTCCGACTACTGGCATTTTAACGATTCCAACTCTGACTCTGACTTCGACTTTGAATCCTTCATATATATGTAAACATATACAGATGGGTATAGCTTATTTTTTAATATAAAAAAGTAATAGATGCTACAGAAAAAAATTGATGCATAGCAAATTTTTTTTATATTAATTAAGCATTTATTATGAAATGGAAAAACTGGCATTAGTAATTTCTAAGAAACAGTAAAACTTCGGCAAGATCCTCTTTGTTAGAGGACCATAGATTCGATTTGATAAACTTCAGATCTAAGAAGTCTTTCCACAATGACTTGAGTAGAAAAAAGAGCTGTTACTGTTAGGGCTTCTTCTTTTAACTTTTCAGGATAGATTTTTATAAGTTCTAAAAGAGGTGTCTTGCAAGAGCAATCATATTTATATATTTCTTCAAAGGCCATGTACAAATCTTGTTTGTATTTTTATATCTAAAGGCTCTTGGTTATTTGTTTTCATTCGCTTTGCCTTAGCCTTTTCAATATTATCCAAATATTTCTCAAAATCTAATTCATCAGTGGAAGAGGATGATAGAGACTCAGTTGCAATATCTGCAGTTTGATTGTTCTGATTTGAATACTCCAGTTGTTCTGATAATAATTTCATTCTTAATGAAAGTTCACATATGGCCTTCTTTGCCTTTTTAATTTGTTTGTCATCCAACAAAATTCAGCATTTTGGATCTACATATATTGAACCTAGCCCAATCTTATTGTCTAGCAAACTAGTTTCTCTTTTCCTCATTGAAGGAATGATTCCTTCTGCAATAAACCCTCTATTTCAGGAAGAACAAACATCACATTCTTCCAGTCTTACCTCTTGTTAATTCTTCAGATTGTAGCTTTTTGGTGGCTATATATGGTATAGAAAGAAAAGTTTCCAATTCTGCAAGATCATTTCACTGTCTTTCTGTTAGTGAAACATTAGGGTTATTTACATCTTCTAACATTCTTGTCTCCTGTTAATTCTTCAGATTGCAGCTTTTTTTTGTGGCTATATATAGTGTTGAAAGAAGGGTTTCCAGTTCTGAAAGGATCATTCCACAGTCTTTTTGTTAGCAAAATATTAGGGTTATTTACATTTTTTGAAAAAGTTCTTAATCCTAACAACCACTATATCATCAAATATGTACTTCTCCATTGCATTGCTCCTTTTCCTGCTCGCTTCCTATGAATGGCATCAATTTTGGGAGAGTTCTAAGCTGCTTGCCTAAATTCACCAATGAGATTAGTAACTAAATAAATCAGTTTAATCAATAATGGCAAATATCATATCCATCCTGCTCCCTTATATTTATTTACTAACATGTCAATAAAATAGAAACTAGTTTAACTCAGTTTGTCATTATTTTTTTTTCAATTCACTTTAACTTCATTTTAAATTCAAACTGTTCAACAAAAACTGGAGTTTGAGTCGACGTGTTTTTTAGTGACTTCTCCGACTCCTCTTACCCAAAAATCTACCTGACTCCACAGCCCTGGTTAGCAAGAATACTTTCATAATTCTTATCAGATGAGATTGCGCATTGCACTCGATGATGCCCCTGACATCCTGCTTATTAATCATTCAGAATGAAATTATGAAGAATGAAATTAAATAACGTACTTCAGAAAAAACATTCACTTCTTTATTGTCTAACTCATAGTTGACCATCATTATATTCCAACTAAATTGAGATTTATCAAGGAAAATGACCTGCTGCTAGTTGTCGTGCCAGTGGCTGCATTAATAAGCTGATTGTAGACACAGGCATCTAATGGTTTTCCAACAGGGAAATCATGTGCAAAGAAACACATGCATGCAATCCATGCCAAGCAGATATCACTAAATTGTTGAAATTGATAATAATACACCCGCAGTAAGCTCCAATGTTGTGTCAATCATTGAGATGAAGCTGCACAGTTGTACAATTCTTTTAACTTGCTTCACAGAGTTGGATTAACTAGGTATTAGAGATGATTTTGCACTGACCATGTCAAAAAAAATTATGTTTCTTTATTATGGAATGATGGAAGAATTACTACCACAAACCATCAGCAGAAAGCAAAACTGGCTGTAAAAAATATCAAACTATTTTTAGTTAAATACATTGCAGAATAATATATATATTAAATCAAAAGTGACAATTTCCTCTTTTAAATGACACATAAAACTAGTTCTTGTTTATATATTTAATGATATAAACATGTACATATGAAATATCACACAGATCTGTCCATATATATTCAAAATTCCTGCAAGTCCAATTTTAAGAGGTATTAGAAAGTACATATTTGTTTCAGCAGGAAAATACTTTTTAAAAGCTGTTTTATTAAACTGCACAAAGCTGAAAATGCAATAAAGTCCAAAAAAAAAAAATTTTTTTTTTTTTTTTAAATTTAAAAGGATAAATTACAAGAAACCTTTTTTGGCCCAGTAAGCACTACAAAGTAATTAAGAGGGTTAAAAATAAATATCAGAATCAATGACATTGAGACATATTACACTGCAATAGTCTTGATTCTATAAAAATGTCGAATTCTATTACTTACAGTTCTAATACCTGTTTTGATGATTATAACAATAATTTAAAAAAAGATTTAAAATGCATACTCCAGTTTTCTGATCAGTTTCACAACTAGCTGCATGTCCAGAGCAAGCACACTGGCCCCCAACAGAAATGTCTTTAATGGAGTAAAAATACTAAAGAGGAAATTAATTAATAAGTTAATTCAATAATTATAATATTAACTCATTTTTTATAAAATAAATCAACTCAATGCTTTCATTTAGCAATCAATACTTTTGCAATAGTCTTCTATAAACATGGAATTAAATTATATTATTTGCTCTCTTTTAATCCATCATAACAAAACATGTCAGAGACTTTTCAATGCAATAGCAGAAAAAAATTAAAACATACTTAGAGCTTGAAAATTTTTTAAGCTTATCCACACATAGGTATCAACATACACTTCAATTACTGACATTTAAAATTGTTCATTTAATAGGTTAAAAATTAAGAAGAATCATGTGAATTTTTTCTAAAAACTTACAGTTTTAAGCAAAATTATGTATTTGCATTTCATATTTGAAAGAAGAAGTTTAAAAAAAAGAAGTTATAAAAAAATTAAATAAACACAGAAAATAACAGTAAAATAATAACTAAGAAAACAAAGAAACGTTCTTTTTTTATATATTATTTTAACAATATATTATTAATATCAGGTTTTAAAGAAAGTTTCCCAGCACCCCAAATATCATCTGTGCAAACAGTTCACATTGGCGTGTTTAGTCATATTTTGTCAAACGATTTTTGGCATTTGAAAGAAAGATACTTGCTTTAGAACACTGTATTGTGAAATTTGTAAAAAAATACTATTATCATTAAGTACAAGGTGTATGAAATTATAATTTGACACTGTGAAGGTTTGATACCAAAAGTTCAAAAACAAGGACTATGACATTCAAGAAGCAGAGTGCTCTGGCCAGCCTACTGATGCTTATGAGGCCTGCCTGTGAGAACTTGTGAAAAGGATCAGTACACAACTACTAATGAGGTTGCTAAGAAGTTAGGCATTAGTTTAATGTCCATTAGTCATGCTATGCATCACATAAACTTGACAAATCAAAATTCAATCTCTGGGAGCAGTACGAGGTGACTTATGCAGATAACCACAGATATGTCCGGGCCTGCACTAATCTGCTCGAATATCAATGCAAAGACAAAATTCTGGATCTTTTTTGGAAATTTGTACTTTTTTGGACTCACAGCCACCAAGTTTCTTGGCCAAAAGCTTTGAAAAACTACCAAAATTTTGGCAGAGAGTCATAAATTTGGGTGGTGATTACTACCCACAGTAAATGAACTCCTTCATTTTATTTTTATTATTCTAATTTTATTAAGAATGTTTTTTGGTGGAAAACTTTCATTATAACCAGATATATTGTTAAATAACAATAATAATAAATTATGTAAGAAAACTAATAAGCCTAGTATGAAAGAAAATAATGCTTAAAATTTCACTGCATAAAAATAACAGAGTAAAGTATAATAAGTATTAAAGGATAATGTATCCTACCATTTAGCTTTTCAAGTAAAATAAGCACATTTTTGGTGTGGATGAAAATAATTTCTCCCATTATATTGATGACTAGATTAATTTATATTCATTATAAAAATGATGATGATATCATATGACAATACTTTTAACCAATCAATAATTCTCTTCATCCATTAAATTAACTGAAGCTGACTTTCTATAAAAATCAAAGCTCAGTTTCATCCAAAAATGTATCTGCTGCTATCTATCTTTCTTTCATATTATAAAGCTCATTATAAGCTCAGCAGTTATAACAATTGTATGCACACTGAATGATATTATTTTAGAATGATTACTTCACAACATGCAATTATTTTGGGGGATTTCTTTCTGATTATCTGATTACAAACTAAATATATGTAGACAAGTCAAACAAGAACAAGAATGAATTCACTTTGCAGCTTAAGATTATTATGTAAAGGCAAATAATTTTTCGCAAAACAATAGGTTGTCATAGAATCAAACAAGAGAAAAACTGTAAATGTACCTATACATGTACATGGCAACATTTCACAGATAATACATAAGTAAACAGTCATCACATATGGAAAATGAGATTGATTTAGGATGAGCAATATACAGCTTTGTAATTCCGTGTCTTTGGAAATCTGCCATCGGAGAATAAGAAAATATCGCACCAGGTATGTTGCAAAGATGCTCTACCATGAATAACAGCATTTTGTGGTTTAAACAGTTTAAATAACACTACAATTTGCTTTTCAAAGTAGGATGATTTAGATTTTTCCATCCTAATTACAATAAGGCCCTGAATAAGCCTTAAGCATATGTGGAAATGTATTTATTCAGGACTCAGCTAAGCCTTAAACATGCGTAGGAAATAGTGTTAGTATAATAAATAACTAATATAATAAATAACTCAGGCTTTAATTTTTCAGAAGCAAGACAAAATTTAGCGAAATAAAATACCTTTTGTCACCAGTTTCATGATACATACCCAGTAGTGTACAGCAGATGCTAGCTATGCTTTATGGTGATTAACTCAAATTTGAAGGTTTTTAGGCATTGCAAACAAAAAGCAAAGTTTTCCAATTAATGAAATTTGTGAAAAATGTGAAGTGGTAATAAATGATGATTTAAGAGAAGTTTTTCATTGTGATTATAAAGCCCCAACCATCAATCAACTAACAGATGGCGAAATCTGTAGTATGATTCTAAATCCATAAAATATCGCTGCCAGTAGTGAAGAAAGTGATAGAGAGGTTGTTGAGAATGAAAAAATTTTGATTGATAGTTTAGTTTGAATTCTTGATATGGCCGTTACAAGACAAACAATAGAACTTTGTAACTGAATAAGAAACTATGTCTGTCTACAGAATTAAAGAGAAAGTGTAAGTACAAAAAATGAAGCAGTTTGAACAATTTACATTCAAAGAAGTGTTCAATAAAGCAAACAAATAAATATTGAGCCTTTTTTTGTAAATTTTGATTCCCTTAACGTTATAGATGCTTCATCATTTCATAAACCCCTATTTCAGATTTTTGATTTTATAATTTCTGCATGTGATCTTACTAGATTGAAACAATACAGAGAATGATTTAATATCCAAAATCGCCAAAGTCTCGATGGGTCCAGATCTCAGACTTTGTGCTGTATATATTATGCCTACATAATGAAACTATGTTAATATTCTGTGTCATCAAAAATGCAGCAGAAGCATTTTCAGGTAACACTTAATGAATGAAAGACTCTGGACATATTTGTAATTATAAAAAAAAAAATTGATTAAAATAAAATAAAAAATAATTTTAAAATTACTCTTCTGGTGACAGATTTATCTATGCTTTCAGGGTCAGTTTTCATACTCATTAAATCTGCATGCAGAGTACGAATTTTCTGAAGTCTCAATCTCACATATCTAGCTTTGGTGAAGTCCTAAAAAGACATCATTCAAACAGAAATAAAAATCAGTTCATATTGCTAAATGATCATAAAAAATTTAATGATATTTAAACATGTACAGCAAATATTTAATAACCTGATAAAAACAGTTGTTGTTGTCATCGTGTTATGATAAAGAATATTCAAATATGTGCCATGAATGAAAAAAAATAGCAAAATGCAAATGTAACTATTTTCAACTTTCATTTATTTTAAATTATGCTTTAAATAAGCATAATTTAAAATAAATGAAAAATAATACAAATATAACATTCAAAATAATAAACAAAAAATAAATAAAATAAAACAAATATAAAATTTTCAGAAAATATAACAAATAATACAAAAATTTCCAAACTAAAACGAATATACAATTAAAAGCAGTAACCAAATATCTTGTAAGAAATAAAAATTTTACCATAAGTTTCATACTAGGACCATCCACACCTGGTTTTCCATTAACCAAAGATGTATGAATCTGTAAGACAAACAAATAAATTCTACAGTAATATCAAATTCTTAGGAGAATTCAACAAAGCAATACACACATAAAAACAACAATAAAAAAATTAAAAAGGGGGGGAGGAAAAATTAAAGTGTATCAGCATCTTAAATCACAGGATATTTAATGCCACAGAATAGAATTACACCATTATTAACCCTCTGAATGGTACAAGTTTTTGGTTCTGTCATGAAGACCTCTATTAAATAGCATTTATTAGCTAAATTTTATAATAACTTTAGTCTCTATTTTCATAAAATTACATTTATCAAGTTGACATTTACATTATAATTTATATCTTATAGTTTAAGATATTTTGCTTCCTTACTTTCTAAGCCAATATATACCAAACTGATGAAAAACTCATGCTACGATAAAGCTGGTCATGCTACTCAGAGGGTTAAATTATTAAATAAATTACTGTTGTAAAATAAATCAAAACCATAAAATTGCTTTGGAAGATAAGCATTAAATTTATGTTTAACAAACTTCTTCAGCTTTATCAAATATATTTCAGTAATAAAAAATAAAGTGCTCAAAATTTATGAACTTAAAATAATATTTACACCAGTTATTAAAAAATAATAATTTAATTGACTCCATACTTCACCATTTTCCAGTGGATTCAATTTAGAGTAATATGATGTACATATAACTTCATCATCAGTTCTATAATGTGGTTTTCCAACAGTAGGTCTTATGCCATAGGATTCCCAGCATTCACTATCGGTCAAAGCATAATACTGCCATGGTTTGTATATGATGCCATCTAATGATCTCTCTAATATCCAATTGCCAGGTCGTGGAGATATAGCAGCTTTTACTATGATGTAGGTTATCTGATAAACCTGCATAATTTTGAATTTAATTAATGTGACAATGATACTAACTGAGAAAGTCCTATTAAAATGCATTTAATGATGCTCTCAAAGAAATACAACAGAGTCATTTTTAATACTGATAACAAATATTAAATACTGAGCAAGAAGTCTTTCTTTGTTCAAATCTATATAAAATACAGAGTTTTATACAAATTAAAGTTTAGTTTATTTTTATCAAATTATTTTAATTTCACATTTTGATATCCTCACTGGGATAATCATGGCAAAAGTTTTACACATTATTGCCAAAATTAACTCTTTATTGGTCAACAATTTAATTGAAAAAGCTCTTATTTAATGTCATAAGGAGAAATCACCATCAATTAGATAATTTTAGGCATGCCAGATTTCAGAATTCAGTGAAAAATGGAAATCCTTTTTACCACAGTTTTCCAGTGTCACTGCTGAAGAGCTCTAGGAAGTGTTACAAGTCTAAGGGTCAGTAACGATGCATTCAGAGGCAAATGGACAAAAAAGTATAGTATTTAAAAAGTTATGCTGACCTCACATTTTTAAAGCAACATTTAAACATTCCCTTTATTATATAACTATTACAACTATGCATCATAACAAAAATCTTATCATATTATAGACAATCCACTTTTTACATTTTGAATATTAAATTGTATATACGTTTACTATTACGGAGCATAAATTACAGATTGTCATTTTCATATTTTAAAAGTGTGCCCACAAATCAATACTTGTTGACAGTACACACAAGGACCATTTTCTTTCAGTATGTACCACTGCATGTTCTGTAGTTGAAATCTTTTTATGTTTTGTCAAGTTCATTGCTATAAATACTTTGAGAAATCTTTTAATTATTTCAGTTTTCATGATGAGTTTTAATTCATAATTTGATGCAGTTCAAATGCAATTAGTATTAAAGAAATGTAATATAATTTTAGTCAGTGGCTATATGTCACCTTCAAAGGACAACTGATATATCTTCTAACACATCAATGCTGCAAGTATAAGGGGAACATAATTGCAGCAGGGAGTATAAACTCAATCTAAAAATGAGACATTATTGAATAAAAATGTGTGTGTGTGTGTGTGATTATGGCAAAGCCTCGAGGACTATCTGCCTAAAGGGAGGGATGCCTTTCGTGGAGGACTTTCTAAGGGAAACTGGCTCGTATACACGTTACACATGGGGAAAACCACGAAAACGCCCATGCAGCCAGCCCGTTCACGGGATTCGAACCTCGGACCGAACTACCAGTGTTCAGCAACTTTACCGCTCGGCCGCTGGTGGGCCTGAATAAAAATGAGACATTGTTCATGATTACCTTATTTTACTTCTTGCGTTAATTTGTATCCTAAGAAATATTATTATAATATCAAGGTATAACTGATAATACGATACCAGTTTCAAGACTGATCATTAATATCTAGAAGCATGACAACCTTTTGCTAAACTTTCTGATCATCAAAGTTCTGGAACAGCACTTAAATGTTAAACACACTGAATATAAATAATCAATCCTGTTTTTGTTTCTTGGTACTAAATAAGCTTTTCATGATTTCTTCCATGTGTACTACAAATCGGTGACAATTTTTCTTTAAATATCCTCCCTGAAAACATACCCAGTAAGATTAAATATCCTCCCTGAAACATACCCTTACAAAGCTTAAATAGCTTATATTCATATAAAGTTGGAATAAATTATTTAACCTCACTTTAATGCTGTATGGATATCAATTCATTTACAATTTGGTCTGGAATTAATGTTATCTGTGTTTTCTTATCATTTTATAAACCAATTTTTTTAATCATTGTTTAAATTGTAATCTGTTGCAATTTATTGAATCATACAGTATTATAATCTTGCTCTTTTCTGTTTATTTGCACCCCTACCAAAAACATTACAAACGTAGCAGATTTTGTAGAGAAATTTTTGTATTTTCTATGCCTATTTCAATAATGCATCCAGTGCCACCTATTTTTTACCTTCTTTTTCCATACAAGACATGCACCCTTTTTGTTTTTTCACCCTGTTATTTTCCCCACATACACAGCAATCTGTTTTCTTGCTAAGAAAACACATGGCATCATGCACAACTTCAGCAATAAAATGCTAAAATGAGAAGGGGAAAAAAGGGCACATATGGCTTTAAGTGAACAATATCCAGTACCGATCGCAGACTGTTGGCTGCTCATGTGCAAATCGAAACTGACTGCCCTTTTTACAGAAATATAATTTGATTTAGAATCATTTCACTGCCCTTAAATTTGGCTGCCCACATACCTTGCACTGTCCTGCTTCACACAAGGATCGGCCTTGACCATATGTATGCATGCAGAAAATTAAGCCCAAGTTTTTGCTGAAAACTATGAAACTGCACATGCATATTTGTATTCCCATACTGTTTAGTATCAGAATTACCAATCCTTATTTGCAGCTTTTCATTGCAAGTCCAAATAATCAGAAAATACTGCAATGGTAATTAAAAGACAAATTTTATTAAATTAAGAAAAGATGAATTTTAGAAAATTTTTATCAAATTTCAGTAATGGAATCAAGTGCATCTAAGTATGTAGCAGCTGAGATTCCAGATTTAAATCCAATCAACTGTAATATATGATAAATGAAAAAAATAATTAAAACTAAGTCATACTAATGAAATATACCTATTGTAAAATTAATATTGCTTTTATATTTTGGATTAATAAATTATTCTTTAATTAACAGCTTTGTTTTAGCCTTAAAATTTATTTTGACTGTACATTTATTGTCAGTTGTATAACAGATAAAATGAGAATTTACTAAATCCCTTGTTAATGCAAATATATTCTCTCCTAATTCCTTAATCATTTCATGTTTTTACAAATCAAACAGTAAGTTATCAAGCAATAAAGTTATTATTTGATGAATAAGTATGTAAGAAAAATTAAACACAAAAAATTTCAGTATTACTTGTTTTAAATCTAATGTGATGGTAATCCATTCATACTGTTTCCCATTTTGAAGAGTAGGGCTCTGCCACCAACGATTAGTTCCATCAATTGCATTTTCAATCGGATGCTTTTTGTCAGAACTTCTTGCATCACATACTCCACACTGTTCTTGAGATTCTTTACTACGTTTAGTGTTAACATTTTCTCTATAATGGATATACAATTCCATTTAGATAATCATATCATGTAATGTACATTCATATAAAGTAATTTTCATGCAGCAGAAAAATGCAACATAATAATTCAACATAAAAATTAAAGTTAAATATACAATTCAGTCTTATTAAAAAATCCAGCTGGTTTTTATCGATCTTCAATCTTTATAACAATGTGTGTGCATAGGAATAATGACAGCACATATGATTTTAATATTTTCTTACTTAAAAATTTTCTTTTCTTTCAACAATATATGTTTTTATATACTATTTTTGTATATGTTGCTACACATTTTCAGCGAAAAATTTGTGTTATTTTAAATTCAAAATAGCTAGTGTTAATATTCTCGACTTTTTATTTTGACATAAGTTTGACATAAATATTTTGACATAAGTTTGTTTGCTTTCTATTATGGCAAAGTAAACAAGAACTAGCTGCCTAAAGGAAAATGCTTTTGTGCAGGAATTCTTAAGGCAAACTAGCTCATATTTATACTATACATGGAAAAACATGTAAATACCTAAGGCCAGAATATTCATCAGAATTTGACTCCACATCAGACTGTTCAATGATCATATCAATTCAACTACAAATGAGCCTTTAACAAAAATAAGATATGTTTCCATAAGATATGCTTTAATTGGTTAACAGAAATTTTCGGTGAATAATATTAGCATACAATTTATCGCCAATTTTCCAGCAAAATTCAACAATCATATATATTAAAATTTAATAAAAATTTTAGATTGGGCAATTTATAAATTATATTTAATAGTTTGCAATAATATATATGTATTTTGTGCCAGGAAACCTATATTTTATTTTATTGCATATTTCATATATTATTTTATTTATTTTACACATTATTTGATTGCATATTTCACACATTTCCAGCACAGTTTATTGATATTTTAACAAAGATTAATCAAGCATTGATGTGTTTGTATTGTTATTTTATTTATCTTCTAAATTCTAAGAAATACTCAATCTTTATTTTTTAGTGTTTATCATTAAATTCCTAATTATTTACTATTTTATGATGAAATTTGATAATATAAAATTTAGGCAATGATTTTTAATTAGGAATAATGCTAATGATTGCAAAATTGATTAAAACACATAATGTACTTTATATATGGTATTAAAATGCATAATCAAAGAAAAAAATAATACTCTTAAATCAACTAAACTTGGATACCAATTAAATTTTAAACTTTCAAGTCATAAATACATATGAGTAATAATAGTTGTCCCAATATCTTTATAGTATACATGTAATATGTGTGTTTAATTTGTGTTCAACCCCATCACAGAAGCCTAAAATGAGGAAAAGAATCCAGATATAAGCTGACACAAAATTTTATGAATATAATCAAGAAAATATGTCTTGCTGCCTTGTTCCAAAAATGTTGTCAACTCTTGAATGGTTGGTAGGTTTATAAATTTCTTACGAAGAGATTATATTAGAGATTTCGAATACATGATAGAATCTGGAAAGTTCAAAGACTGAAAAATAACTATGTAATAATGTTTTCAAGAAAGTCATATAAAAAGAAAATAAAAATTACTTAAATTATTGTATATGTAAAGAAAAGAAAATACTTGAAGTCAAACATTTATGCCCCATTTTGAAAAAGGGAACATTTCTAAATAAGTGTTTACAGGTGTAAACTTCCAAATGTGTAATATGAAAAATAACCTTGATAATTTTTAGACTTACTGCTTAGAAACAAAACTAATAGAAATTGAAATTAACAAATTTATAAAGACAGGAGAAAGTAGACAAACTTCTGAAGGAGACGGATGAAAAAAATTGGATTCTATGAATTTGTAATGTTTATATCTCTTGTTTTTATTACTTTCATATAAAAAAATTAAAGGTTGTATGATTTTATTTTGCTTACCCTCGCCCTCTGGGATTAAACACAAAGTTTTAAATCATCATTTTGAAACCTCTCATCATCATTTATTTTACATTCTTATAAAGCTGAATAATACAATTTTTTGTAATATCCAAATTTGTGTTTTGTAAATGGTAAAATGCAGTTAGCAGAGTGGGAATATATACACACACACATTCCCACTCCACTCCTATGGTTGCAAAACGATGAAATGATTTAGGACTGCGTAATATAAAATTAGAAAAACTTTATTCTGATGTCACAACAGCACAAAGAATCGCGAAAAGTTTAATGGGAACAGCTTTAATGTACTGAAACGTTTTGATCCCGATTGTTTTCAATTTTACAGTCATTTTTCAGGCTGAAAGATTCACATATATTTTGAATAAATTTCCCGAGTTTTCATCCGCAAAGAACCCGTTGGCGCTTCGGTAAAGAATACGTTGGCGCAGTTGCATTTTTACTCGCCAAGCTCGCGGTTCTTCGACGATGAGCCGAGCCGTAAATGTGATATTTTGTAAACGTGATTTTTAGTGCATGTAAATTCAAGTTAGCAGACAAAACAAGCATATGGTAGTAAAAAATTCACAGATAATAAGCATGTAGATGTAAAACTAACCGGTTAAACGTGATATACGAAAATAAATTTGAATTAAATTCAAGTTAGCACAGAAAAGAATATATTAAGCATAAGACAATATATAAGCATTTATAACGGAAATAAAAATTCATTTAAAATTATAAATTAGTATTAATGCATTGAAATTAACCGGTTAAACGTGAGAAACGAAAAAAATTTGTCTTAAATTCCAATTAACACAGAAAACAATATATTCCTTACATCAGCAGTGGTTTGCTAATTTTGATGACCATGGTGATGCATCAAACTATTGTCATCTTAGATAATCAATAATATTTTTTTATTTCAATTTAATCATCTATTTATGTCACACCTACCACCCTCTGAAAGGTTATTGTTAGAAAAGCATTAACAATATATTATCTTGTTAAAATTTTACGCCATAAAAATTGATTTATTCTCATAATTTTAGATGACAATAACCAATAATAAAAATAAAGCATTACTTAATTATTTAAAATGCACATGCATATTTTTGCGGCCTACGGAAACAAATTATTTTAGAGGTTGGAAACCTCATGGTTCTTAAAGCTGTTAATAATAAGAACACACAACGTGAACAGCCGTGTTACAAATTAGCATTCACCCCTCCCGCCGTATTTTCTTCCTTTCCGAGAACTGGTCTCTATCTACGAAAATATTTCTATCTATTCGTTGTTAAAATTTCAGAAAAAATAATAATAAAAAAGAGAAGAATAATGTAAATCTGCAAATGCGAACAACAACAGTGATATTTCAACAAAATGAACGCAAGAGAAATGGTTGCAAACTTCGAACAAGCGAAAACGATAAATCGGCTGGGTTACCAGGTTTGAACTATTATCGCTAAAGTTGGCGATGTTTACATTTACCGGGTTCTCTGCCGAAGTGCTTCCAATTTCCCTATTTCAACAGATAACGAATTTAAGATCAGTTATAAGGTATCACAGGTAAAAAAAAAATTGACTTTTATTTACGTTTTTGTGAACTGGCGCGAATTTTTGTATCTTTTGTAGAAGTTGAGTTGTTTTATACCTTGCTTACAGAAAATTATTTTACTTTACGAGCCGATGCTATTCCCACCAACATTACAACAACGGATGACAAATGACGGATCTGACACCTCAAGCATGCGCACTGAGGTGTCAGATCCGTCATTTGTATCTGTATCTATCTTGCTTTTTAAGCAAGAAGATGAGGACTTTGGCGAACGCAATTTGCTCTAATCCGTGAGGATTAATATTGAAATTAACAACAAACGTTTTTACAACTTTTTATTAAGCATTTACAAACATCCATGCCGTCTCCGAGATTCGAACCCGGACCCTTCAGCACGGCAGTCAGCAACGCTAACCACTATACCGGTTGGGCGGCCTCCGTCATTTAAACCCAATCGAAAAAAAAAACGGATTCTACGTACGCGTAACTGCCTAAGTGTTGTAGTGAATCTTTTATATATATATATATATATATATATATATATATATATATATATATGTTTTAAGCATTGGCGACTTTCAAAAGTTTAGAAAGGAACATGGGTTCCTTTTCTTATAAAAAAGAAGGAACACATTTCCTTTTATTAAAGTATATATAAAAAAAGGCAGATTTTTATGTTCGTAATGTTTATCGTTTTCCTGAACGGTTGGAATAGTTTAAATGACTGATTTGGGGGGAGGACAAAATTTTGCTTACATTTTTTGTACTGCTTAGAACGCATTTAGCTTCAAAGATGTGTTTTGCGCAATCAAGACTTTAATTCATTCCTCTCTGAAAATTTTCGTCCGAGAAAAGTTAATAAAAATTAGACAGAGGATTCTTGTGTAGAAAATTTAGACATGAAATAAGTTAAAAGCGATTAACTCAACTATTAAATAAACAATTAATAATATAATACTGGTTATTAACAATTCTGTATGCCTGTTTATTTATGGAAATACTTGGCATTTTCAGGGCACAAAAAGTACTTCAAAGAACTTTGAAATTTTAGTGCAAACACATTAATAAATTAAATTGAAATAAATAATGGGATGTAATTTAAAAGACAGATATAATTTAATGTAAGAGATTTAGATTTCAAAATTTGCACACACAATGATTTATCAGATTTTATAAGGTTTTATTTCCTAAATAACTTTGATTTCGAAATATGGCATTTGAACCTATAAACATGTGTGGATACTGAAAAAGTAATGAATATATAAGAATATTATAATTTTCAATACGTTTTCTTATTGAATAATAAATTCTGACAGTTGTATGCTATAAGACTAGGATCTAAGTTTGCATAAAAGTTCCTCTGTTAAATAAAAGAATTTAAGTAATTTCTGTAGCCTTTTTGTCTATACATTAAAGATTTTTTTAACTAATTACACGTCCTCGCTTGCAATTAGAACCATCATTAAATCCCTATTTTATCTAATCATTTCCTGAACATTATCATGTATATAGATTGAACTTGTCTTTGTAA